TATATGTAAAATGCTTAGTTTTTAATCTAGATTAATAATATGCCATTTTCATCCCATGCTAAAATGCTTAAAATGTTGTTTGTTTAATTTTGCTCAAATGCCATGTTAAAATGATTTATTTCATAACTAAATAACTGTAGCTCCGAATTAAATAAACTTTATATATGTAAATGGGGTAGAATTTTGCCTTGTTTATCATGGTGGCCTTACTTTGCATGTTTAACAACCCTAAAATTGTGTATAGGGCAGAACAGGACCTAATCTAAAATATGCTTATGGGGAGTTTCCGGAATTGTTGTTCGTTGCTTCCGGCCTCATTTAAACTTGACTAGATAGGTAGTTTTACTTTGCTTCACCCTCTTGCCATGTTAACCAACATTTAATATTGTTGAGTACATAAACGAGATCAAACTAAATAACGTGTCATGGTGTTTTGTCAATATGCATCCCGATGCATATTGATGCTCCACTTAATTTGTAGGATTGCTTGTGCACTTTGCCATGCCATGTTTCATTAAACCGGACATGCATCATACTCGATTGTGCATCATGCCATGTTGTTGTGGTGGTTGTTTACTATGTTGTGTGCTTCTTTTCCGGTGTTTGCTTCTTCGGGTTGGTTCCAATAACGTCGAGGTTGTGAGGATCCATTCATCTACGGCCGTTTGTCTTCTTCATGGACTCTTTCTTCTTCCTTGCGGGATTTCAGGCAAGATGATCATACCCTCGAAATCACTACTATCTTTGCTATGCTAGTTTGCTCGCTCTTTTGCCATGCCAATGCTACGATGCCTATCATTTGCTTGTCAGCCTCCCAAATTGCCATGTCAAACTTCTAACCCACCATGTCCTAGCAAACCGTTGATTGGCTATGTTACCGCTTTGCTCAGCCCCTCTTATAGCGTTGTTAGTTGCAGGTGAAGATTGAAGTTTGTTCCTTGTTGGAACATGGAGATGTTCCTTGTTGGAACATGTTTACTTGTTGGGATATCACAATATATCTTACTTAATTAATGCATCTATATACTTGGTAAAGGGTGGAAGGCTCGGCCTTATGCCTGGTGTTTTGTTCCACTCTTGCCGCCCTAGTTTCCATCATATCGGTGTTATGTTCCCGGATTTTGCGTTTCTTACGCGGTTGGGCTATTATGGGAACCCCCTGACAGTTCGCCTTGAGTAAAACTCCTCCAGCAATGCCCAACATTGGTGTTACCATTTGCCACCTAGCCTTTTCTTTTCCCTTGGGAGTCGCGCTCCTGAGGGTCATCATTATTTTACCCCCCCGGGCCAGTGCTCCTCTGAGTGTTGGTCCAACCTGTCAGCTGCCGGTGGCCACCAGGGGCAACTCTGGGCTGGCCTACCCGTACCTTGGACAATCTGAGTGTGCCCTGAGAAAGAGATATGTGCAGCTCCTATCGGGATTTGTCGGCACATTCGGGCGGTGTTGCTGGTTTAGCTTTACCCTGTCGAAATGTCTTGTTGTACCGGGATACCGAGTCTGATCGGAATGTCTCGGGTGGAGGTCTATTCCTTCGTTGACCGTGAGAGCTTGTGATGGGCTAAGTTGGGACACCCCTGCAGGGATTTGAACTTTTGAAAGCCGTGCCCGCGGTTATGGGCAGATGGGAATTTGTTAACGTCCGGTTGTAGAAAACCCGAAGTTGACCTTAATTAAAATACATCAACCGTGTGTGTAACCGTGATGGTCTCTTTCCGGCGGAGTCCGGGAAGTGAACACGGTGTTGGAGTTATGCTTGACGTAGGTAGTCCAGGATCACTTCTTGATCATACCTTTATCGACCGTGCCTTGCTTCTCTTCTCGCTCTCTTTTGCGATTGTAGCCACCATATATGCTAGTTGCTTGCTGCAGCTCCATCTCATTACTCCATCCTTCCTATAAGCTTAAATAGTCTTGATCTCGCGGGTGCGAGATTGCTGAGTCCCTGTGGCTCACAGATACTTCCAAAACCAGTTTGCAGGTGCCGATGAGTTTGTGCAGTTGACGCAACCAAGCTCAGGAGGAGCTCGATGAAGATCTTGTCCTTTATGTTGTTTCGTGTTAGTTGATCAGTAGTGGAGCCCAGTTGGGGTCCATCGGGGACCTTTGTCGCATTTGGGGTTCTTCTTTTATTTTGGTTCCGTAGTCGGACCTTGATTGTATCTGGATGATGTAATGCTTTATTCATGTAATTGTGTGAAGTGGCGATCGTAAGCCAGCTATGTATCTCTTTCCCATATGTATTACATGGGTTGTGTGAAGATTACCTCACTTGCGACATTGCTTTCAATGCGGTTATGCCTCTAAGTCGTGCTTCGACACGTGGGAGATATAGCCGCATCGAGGGCGTTACACACCCCTACTGCTGCTCTGCGGGGTCTCCGCATGATCACTCAATGGACAAGTAGCTACACAATGCTCCTTGAGCTGTTCGGGTGGGAGGAGGAAGAAGGGCACGGCTAGCTTGCTTCTTTTCCTCGTATGGTGTCTAAAACTAGCTTGGGGGTCGAACACTTTGCATGGGTGCACCGGGGGGTTTATATAGGCCTACCCCCCGGGGGTACAATGGTAATCCGACTGGGCGCGGGGCCCAGCCGTCTGTGACTGTGCTCGCCGGCTTCTGCGCCGGCCGCTGGGGCCCGCCAACTGGTGGGTCCCGCCGGCTGCCGGCTCCTTGGTCGACAGGCCGGCCCCACTGGTCAGGGCCTGGTCGGTGGCTGGTTACTGTTGCTCTATCTTGATGACATGGGCTTTGTCGTGGTAGGCGTGGCTACAGTACCGCCGCCTGGCGGGCGATTACTGTAGCCTCACCTCGTCTTGTCTCCTTAATGAGGCGTCTCCTTCGAGGAAGCTGGCAAGCCGGCTGCGGGGAGCCGGCTTTCTCTTTGGCCGACTGGGGGAGGTGTGCCCGCCTTCGAGTGTCTCTCTGCCCGAAGGGACCCACCGCCCGTGGATCGCGCTGGTAGTCCGTCGTGGATGGCGTCAGGATCGGCATGGCAACAGTGTTGCACCGGGCGGGTCACGGTCACCCGTACGGCGCACTTGTCGGTCATGCTCCGGGATTCGAGGGCGGCAGGTCTCACTGTAGCCACGCCCCGCCTCGTCGCCGCTAGGTAGATGCAAACTTCGAGGGTACGGTCTTGACCTCTTTATGGGAGCCGGCTTCTTGGAGTCGGCCTTCTCGTGGCCGGCTTCGTGAAGTCGGCCCTCCGATGGCTTTCTTCATAAGGGCTAAAGTCGGGCCTCCTTCCGAAAGCCGGCCTAGGTGACAGCCGGCTAGGGGAAGGCGGCCCCGTGTCTTGGGTTCTCGAGAGCCGGAAGGGCTCATAATTTTTTCAGAAGGGTCGGGGGAAGCCGGCTAGGCTACCCGTGGCTATTTACTCCGACACCTCCTTTGTGCCTCCCGTGCCGGCCCTCTCCCCTCCCGAACCGACGACCCCCTCCCTCCCAAGCCGGTGACCCTCCCCCCATCCCAAGCCAGCGACGACCCTCCCTCTCCCCCGACGACCCTCCCTCTCCTCCCCAGCGTCCCGACGATCATGGTAGGTGCTCACCGGAGCTCCTGGTGGCGACGAGGCTGGCCTCATCCGGGGCGACAGGAGGTGCGCACTCCAGCAACGGTGCAGGCCGTCCGCGTCGAGCTTGAGGAGCTCGCGGCAGGTGATGGTTGCGGCCGCAGGTGAGGCACGGTGTGGCGGCAGGCGAGTCGTGAGTCATGGCGTGGCTGCAGGCGAAGCACGGCGTGCCGGCAGGGGAGTCATGGTGTGGCGACGGCTGCATGCGATGCCCGGCGTGGATCCGGCCGCTGCGGGGCAGCTCGCCGGCCTCAGGTGGTGCACGGCGTGGATTCCATCACTACGGGCGCGGCTCGCCTGCCGGAGGAGGCAGCGCTACCCTGCCGAGCGGGATCGAGCTCCTCGCTGCCGCGGGGACCCGATTTCTTTTTCAGAAAACTCATAGGGACCTGATTGCTTTTTTAGAAAACTTATAGGGACCCAATTGCTTTTTAAAAAACTTGCATGTGGGACCCACATGTAAGTTAATGATCAAACAAAGCAAACTGTGATTTGATTAGACTGAATTAAATTTAAGGCGTTTGAATGATACAGCAGCAGCGGGCGGGCGGGCGACTATATGAGAGCAACTCACGGTCAACGTATAGTGGGCGGGCGGGCGACTATATTCTGTTTCTTTCCAATATAGTGGAGTACAAACAAAACCCATGTTTCAGTCTGCCAAGACAGTTATACGTGCATCCACATTTGGATTATAAGTAAACAGGAAGTACAATACCGTACAAAACTAGTATTAAATACCCGAAGTAGTTACTTCCTCTGATCCATATTACTCATACTAAATTTTCTAGATACGGATGTCTAACACTAAGACGTGTCTAGACAAATAAAAAAACTTCATATTATTGTGTTATTAGAGATATTTACAAGACTTAACTCCAACTCCGATATATAATTCAATTTGAAACAAGATGTGATAATAAATCTCCTATATAGAAAACATGCAATCAGGATGTTAGGATTCTTTGTTACTTCAACTTAATTTTGAGTTGGGGGCATATAGATGAAAATTGGATAAACGCTGAAACTTCTCAATCCAAGGGCTCTTAATAATAGGTTTTTCTTTTCTTTTTGCTTGATAGATAAAAAGAACTACTCGGCATAGATAGTTTTACTGATAACACACAACTGCTGGAAAATGAACAAGAGTGGAGCCCTACTGGAAGTTAGACTGCACCAAAATAAAACGAGTGGTTGGAATGGTAGGCCTTGCATCTCAGCAACCACATTGGCAGGGCAGCAAATAAAGGGTATCCTCCCCGGTTATGCCGTAGTCCGCCATGGTGCGGTCGCCCCGCAGCCTCTCCCCGTCGAACAAGAGGTTCTGTTGTATTGGGCTAGTGCCATCCTTCTTGTAGATCTTCACCTTGATACTATCGACAGTGTCCGAGCTTGCAACCCCATCAAGGGTCAGGGTCTTCCCATTTTTATCTCACGAAGATGCGCATCATACCCATGCCTTCTCGCGGACTACATGGCTGGAGGACGAGAAGGAGGGTGGAGTCCTTCCAGACGTTGTACTCAGCCAAGGTGAGGTTGTCGTCCTCCAGCCGTTTGTTGGCGAAGATGAGGCACTGCTGGCCCTTGGGGAAGCCTTCCATGTACTCGATCTTGGCCTTGACGCTGTCAATGGTGTCGTGGCTGTCGACCTCAAGGGCCATGGTCCTAGCAGCCGGCATCTCCGTCACGAATATCTGCATCTTCTCTTGGAGGTCGATCGTGGATCACTATTTTAAATAGCCCGCTATAGCTCCGCTATAGCACGCTATAGCGTTTACAAAAGGTCTTGCGCTAAAAGACTTTGGTCCAAACAAATGAACAAACATTTTAAATAGCGCGCTATAGCTCCGCTATAGCACGCTATAGCATTTGGAAGAGGTCCGCCGCTAAGATGCTTAGCGCGCTATTTAAAACTTTGTCGTGGATCCATGCTCGATTTCATAGTCGGCTAGCGTGCAACTGTCCTCTAGTTGGGTCCCGTCAAAGACGAGGCGGTATTGCTCTTGTATCTTCGCCTTGACGCTATACAAGGTGTCTGATTTATGGACCCTGAGGCGGATCGTCCTGCCGGTCGGATTCTTGACATAGATGTGCATCCTGAATGAAAGGCAAACAAAACAAAACCAATTAGTTTTTAGACACTTTTCTATTTGAAGCGTTGTGCAGAACAATAAAAAAAACTCGTCAACAATTCCAACAAGCTTTTTTTGTACATCACTTAGTGTTTAGACGGTTTTCTATTTGAAGCGTTGTGCAACGATAATAGAAAATCATCTACAATTCCAACAAGCACTAATAAGAATATCATGGTTCACTTAGGTGTGTGCATACACTGAAGAGATAAGCTGTGAGTTAACTGACACTTATTTACCCCGCAAAGAAAACTAATACTTTTTCTACTGGAATAACAGAACGGCGAATGCCAAATCAGCCAAGAAGACTAACACGTTACATAAGCTAAGTTAGCGCAATCTTCGGAATTGCTACAATGTATGCCATGTTTATTTATCAGAAAAGGAGAGCATGCAGCAGATGGATCGACCAGCTTTTATTTACACTTCCAACAGGTAACGTCTTAGAAGCAACATAAAAAATCCTTCTAGTCACAGAGGTTGACCAATTCAAACATATAATGATCTGGACTAGCTCTATTTATCATGCTATTATTCATTATTTACATTTAAAATGATAATTTTTACAAAAAGTAAAATGATAATTTTTACAAAAATAAATTATCTAACTTCCGCATGTTCCATTTTCAGTATAAGAAGAATTATTCCTGTCTTTAAAGGGTTTCATCCGAAGGAATAAACGATGAAGAATACTACTCCTTAGAACTAAGGGATCATATATATGTACTACTACATGATGAGATGAGCAACGCACCTTGAAGTATCAAAATCCTTGCCTATCTATAAATCCCAGTCCAATGTAAATATATAACCCCACATCGTCACAAATTCACCATGACAGTACGACACACTCCAGTGACTAGTGATATATGCAAGAGAAAAGAGCTCCACACCCTAGTGATATAGGCAACAGAAAAGAGCTCCCGGGGTACCTTGAAGTCGACTCTCGCTGCTTCCTGCGTGGCGGAGGGAGATCGGAAATGTGGAGGAAGTGCGGTTAGGGTTTGGGCGATAGATCGGTACATGGCGTTCTCATTTATAGGCTGAGGATCGGGAGCAGACCTTCCACTTCCGAGGCCCAATCTGTAGATGCACCCACAGTGTGAGCCGGCCCATTAGTGATTTTATATAGTTTTTTTTTCCTTCCTTTCGTTTTTTACGGGGAACCGATAGCTGTTTCTTTGTTCCTATGAAATTATTTTGAAGTTTAAAGTATGCTAACAAATTTGAAATTTTCTTCACAATTTTAATAAATGTTCCAGAATTTCTAAAAATGTTCGCGCACTTAAGAAATATTCATGAATCACAATTTTGGGTCTCGTGTTGTAGCCGACTACTAACCAAGAGCCTGCTTCTTTTCTCTCTTCTCCAACTAAGCAAAGATATATTATTCTATTCCTTATTAGCCTGCTTATGTCATCCTACTGTACTTGCTCTAACCTTGTATTCTCTCGCTGCTTCTCGGGCGCCGGAGCAAAGCATTGTGCAATTGGTAGCTCAAGAAACATGGTTATACAAACTTTACTATCAGCTTTTTGCTAGATTTCAAATATGTTATTTGTGAAAAATCATGATTTTAGAAATATTCATGAACTTTGAAAAATATTCATGAATTTATAGAAGTTAATATATTTTATGAAGGTCGTGAATTTTAAAAATGTTCCTGAATCTTCAGAAAGATGCCAGGTACTTTTCTTTTAGAAAATAGACGCTTTATTACCCCGTCCCTTAAAAAACATTTTATTTAATGAAAGTTTCATTACCCTTGCATTTGCATGGAAGATGTGTATAGCCATTTTATTATACAGAAGACGGACGTTGTGACTGTGAGGCCACGTCAGGGGCAAGCTAAGAGCATCTCCAACAACTCACAAAACAAAACTCCACCAGTAATCACTTATTGAGCTCCCAATAGCAATATTTTAGTTACTGGGGTTGGCCGCTCCAACAGATCCACAATAACCAACCTGACACATATGACCCATTTGTCAATCGGTCAATTATGGTGCATGCAATGGTGCTTCAGTGGTGGTGGCAGCTCTCCGGTGGGTGTCCGACGGTGGTGATCAGGCGGGGGGCCAACGACAACGGCAACTCTCTGGTGGTGCAGTTCTCCGGCGGCGTTCTGTGCTGGTAACGGCCATTTATGTTGGTGCACTGAAGTGGCGGTATTGTGGATTGAATTGGGAGAGGGTCAACTCACCCTCCAAATAGGGGGAGATGGAGGGGGAACGCTAATGTAGGATTAATCATATGCAGGCCACGAAACATGCTGCAGAGCATGGTCCAGAATATGTTTTTACTCAGCTAGTTTGAGTCGGGCCATAGATTCCAGGGGGGGAATTTCGATGCAGGCAACTAAACGCGTCCTATATGATTCTTCATATTTTGTTACAGAGATATTGATCAGACTTGATTCCAACTATGATTTACAATGCCAATTCCAGCTTTATGTGACCAATGTGTGGTTCACACGATGTGATAATATCTTCTATCCAAAAGAACATGCAATTATTGTGTTATGATTATCGATATTAAGATGGCACAGATAAAAAAGATGTATAATTAACCACGTAAATTGATCGCACTGTGTACGTGGAAAGGAGAAAAAGGAGACTGTTCTTGGTGAAGCTACATAAAACCCGCATTTCTTGATCAGTTTCTTGGTTGATTATTTATTATCATTGTTCCGCACAGCGCTTCAAATAGAAAAGTGTGTAAAAATTAATTGGTCGTGGTTTGCCTTTCATTCAGGATGCACATCTATGTCAAGAACCCGATCGGCAGGGCGATCCGCCTCAGGGTCCATGCATCAGACACCTTGTATAACGTCAAGGCAAAGATACAGGAGCAATACCACCTCGTCTTTGACGGGGCACAACTAGAGGACAACCGCACGCTAGCCGACTATGAAATCGAACATGAATCTATGAGATTGACCTCCAAGAGAAGATGCAGATATTTGTGACGGAGATGCCGGCTGGCAGGACCATGCCCCTCGAGGTCGATAGCCTTGACACTGTCGGCAGCCTCAAGGCCAAGATCGAGTACATGGATGGTTTTCCCAAGGGCCAGCAGTGCCTCATCTTCGCCAATAATCGTCTAAACGACGACGACCTCACCTTGGCTGACCACTACATCTCGAAGGACTCCACCCTCCTTCTAGTCCTCCAGCCGCTTAGTCCGCGAGTAGGTGCTATGATGCGCATCTTCGTCACCAAGCAGGGTGGGAAGACCCTCACCCTGGGGTTCCAAGCTCAGACACTACGAATAGTATCAAGGTGAAGATCTACGAGAAGGATGGCACTCGCCCGATACAGCAGTACCTCCTCTTTAACGGGAAGAACCTGCATGGTAACAGCACCATGGCGGACCACGGCATTAAGACGGAGTCTACCCTTGATTTGGTGCTCTGCCAATGTGGTTGCTGAGATGCAAGGCTTGCCATAACAGCCACCAGTTTTATATTGGTGCACTCTAACTTCCAGTAGGGCTGTGCCTTACCATTATTCCAGTATCGCTCCACTCTTGTTCATTTCCAGCAGTTGTGTGCTATAATACTCCTATATCAGTAAAACTATCTGTGCCGCGAGTAGTTCTTTTTATCTATCAAAGCAAGAAAAAAAAACCAGCTATTAAGAGCCCTTGGGTCTGATTGAGAAGTTCCTTTGTTTATCCATGTTTGCATCTATGCTCCCACAGTCAAAATTGAGTGGAAGTAACATGAATCCTAACACCGTCACTGCATGTTTTCTAGATAGAGGATTATCTATCACAATCTTGTTCCAAATTGGACTGGAAATCAGAGTTGGAGCCAAGTCTTCTCAATATCTCTCGTAGCAAAATATGAAGATATATGTTCCAAATTAGAAGTTTTTTTTTAGTAAAGACAATTAATCAGAAGAATATAACTATTTGAGTATTCAATAATAGTTTTTCTACAGTGTTGTACTTCCTGTCTTGGCAACTGAAAAATAGATATATATCTCTTTGGGCCGTTGGATCTTCCAGAATGGAGGGCCCGTATTCATTACCCGGTACCGTAAAAGAGCTCTTTCTTGAGGAACGAACCAAGAGAGACCCAAAGACTCTTAATAGTAGTTTTTTTTTCTTGATAGATATCAAGAACTACTACAATACTAAATGTCAGTTTTATTAATAACACACAACTACGGAAAGAAGGAACAAAAGTGAAGCAATACTAAGGTATTAGAACGATGAAAGCACAAGCACCACTACTGGAAGTCAAAAGTAAAACTGGTTGTTGAACAGCAGGCCGTGCATCTCAGCAACCACAGAGGCACATCACCAAATGAAGAGTAGCCTCCCTCTGAACGTTGTAGTCAGCCAGGGTGCGCCCATTCTCCAGATGCTTTCCAGCAAAGATGATGCGTTGTTGTCTCGGGCGAGTGCCATCCTTCTCGTAAATCTTCATCTTGAGACTGTCAATAGTGTCCAAGCTCCCGACCCCATCAAGGGTGTGGGTCGTCTCCCCATCTAGCGCCTTCACATAGATATGCATTATCGTACCTCTTGGAGTACACGGCTGGAGGACGAGAAGGAGGGTGGACTCCTTCGAGATGTTATGGTCGGCCAAGGTGCGGTTTCGTCCTGCAGCTGCTTGCCAGCGAATATGAGGCGCTGCTTACTCAATCTTGGTTTCCACGTTGTCGATGGTGTCTAGGCTTTCAACCTCGAGGGCGATAGTCCTGCCAAACAACGTCTCTGTCACGTAAATTTGCATCTTCTTCTGGAGGTCGAGTATGCATTCGTGCCCGATGCCGTAATCGGCCAGTGTGAGGTTGTCATCTAGCTGCACCCCACCGAAAAAGAGGAGGTATTGTTCTTGGATCTTCCGTATAGGGTGTCTGATGGGTGGACCCAGGGGCGGATCCAAGACAAAAATGTCCCGGTGTCCATGTGTATATCACATACTTTTGGTCTTTTGAAGGTCAACCAATGTT